GCCATTGATCAGGAGGAAGGTGGAAAATGTCTCATTGGCTCTCAGACATTCTTCTACTGGGAGATCTGCAATAGAAACGGTACTGTATTACATGACCGCAACAGCATAACCACTCATATCTGCACTATATCTTTCAAAGCACAGGCTGTTAGCAAGATAGTTTATGCTCTGTGGGGCAGTAACAATAGACAGAATAATTAGTTTTTTGCTGATGTTGTTTTTCAGGAAATACATGATATCCAGTGCCTAAATTCTTATTTCATACTATATTTCACCTTTCATATGCTTGACTTTAGTTTACCAGACCCTAGGCAAGTACCAGTACACATATTACTGTAATAAAAACCTGCATAGCAAGAAAATCTGTTTTTTTTTTGTTTGCCTGGAATTTAACTAGCACCAGGAAATATTTATATAAACACAGACAAACATGTCCCTTAATGTAAAAAGCAACAATTTTGAGGTACATAAGACCTGTATTATGAGTCCTTTACAATGTCAGCAGCTCAGGATTTGGGGATTCAACAGATATCTCTTAGGGTGTTAATGTGGCATTTGATGCAGAAAAATCCTACTGCCGAAACTGTCACCTGTGGTGGTCATGTAATTTAATCTGCTCACAGCAAGAAGAGGCTCAACAGACTCTCTGTTTCTGTCACAACAGCAACAAATGGCTGCATTCAGTCGGTCATTCGACACCTGCTTAAAACCATTCATGGTTTTACTGTAACCTGTGTTACCATGGTAACCTGCTCAGGTAAGTCTGGGAATAGTGTTGAATCAAAACTAAATCTGAATGAATTGCTATGGTTTCCTGTTGCAATGGCCAACAGAGTCTTAATCGTGTTATATTCGATATGTTATTCTTTGTTTGCATACTTTGTTTAATAAAGAAAAATTGTGCAATTGTGTAAAAATCCACAATTATACAACTTAAACATTAAAATGTGCATTTTTTTGCTCCAAAAACTTCAAGGAATTGTGCCTTCACTTACTCAAACACGGTGGTCACCTTGTCTTCCTTTACCCCACTACATATCGACTTTGTTTAAACTGCACTACTACGTCACTGACAGAACCCAAGTCTCTAAAGGGTTTCTGCATATGCATAATTTATACTGATTCCTGGAAAGCAATCCTAAAGACATACACTGGCATTATATATTCTTGTCTGTCTTGTGTGTTTTGGCATGCCACAATGACTGGGCTGGGTGTAATCTAATGACATATCAGAATAAGGTGCCTGTAGAAAGGAAAAACACTTTAAGGGTTACTGTGTCAGAATGTCAATGTATCAGGGCAGTGGTAGAGGATATTTAAATAAGATGTGGTACTTGGCCAGGCTCCAGGTCTTTCTCCCAGCCTCAAGATGCTCTCCATCAGATCCTGAAACCTTGACAAGTTCCGGTTTCCGGTGTAGGACAGAATAGTCTGGGCATCCACAAACAGACGAGAAAGTCTGGAGAACAACAACAACAACAACAAGAGTCCTGATTAGAACAAGCACATTTAATGGCTGTCTATCAGAGTTAATGAGCAAACACCACCTTCACGTTTGTGAACACCACCAGCTGTGTTCAGTGAAATGTCCAGCAGTCCAGATTTAAACTGGGTTAACTCAAGCATAAATTCAATAGACTGTCATTTCACACAAGCAGCTGAAAGAAGAGTATTTAACAACCTGTGATCTGAGCTTAATAAAAACACAACCAAGATGAAGGGCTACTGTACATCTAATTATTTTAATTATCAATTCATCTGTTGATTATTTTCCTGATTTATCAATTGGTTAAAAATGTAGTGGAAATAGTGTAAAATGCCCGCTTTCAATAAAGACAATGTGATTTGACTTTTTGTTTTCTTCAATCAACAGTCATCCAGAATATATTAAATTTACTTTCACCTAAAAAAAAAAGAAAACCAGTCAAACCCCAGTAGAATTGTTTGGCTAAATCAGATCCTCCCATTATTTTTGTGTGGACCAGGTAATCTATTCATTGATCAGTCATTTTAGCTATACCTGAACATAAATAAATCCAACAAAATATTGACTGTGACTGATTTCTAAAGTTTCAAATTGATTTTTGTATCACAGTGGCATTAACTGAAACCAACTGCTGTTTGGAAATTAAATAATTATCCAGAAGCTTAAAGTTGCTTTGGAAAATGGGGAGCAGCCATGTAAAGTACATGCTGTTTGTAGCCAACAGTTTAAATCCACTAGAGCGCAAGTACTGTACAGTATGGTCATTATAGCCTGCTTTTACTATGCTACCTTGCTAGCAAAATAGTTTGAAAACAATGATCTAAGTCTATACATACAGCTGCACCAACATGTTTTGTAGCTTTGTTATTGCGTTTCTTAATCTAAAATAATCTCAATTCAAACTTAATAAGGCCATGATGATTTTCTCCTTTTTTGGTCAAAAACACTTTAACTTATGTATAGCACAAATGTATGCATGATATAAAACTCAAGATCGTCTGGGCTGACAGCAGCTGATGGACTACTGTTTCAACATATAATGATCTTTCTATCAATTCCACCGCTCTGGACAGCTGTATGTTTTTATCTCAAGTTTACCTACATGGAGTTGTCAAAGTTGCCAACTTGGCCCGGTGACTCCCCGGGCGTCGGGCTGTGGAAGCAGGGGTTGTTGATGTTGCAGATAATACCC